ACAAAAAACAATCCAAGTTTAAGGATGAAAGAGCGTTTCACTCGTTAAAAACCGTATAACCACGACGAGGGGCTCCACAATCCCCCGGCCTCGACGTCGTACGAAGACCGAACTTAAATCCTCACCCCTTCGGGGGCTGCGATCTGCGACGTCGTCGCCATTTTCGAGGGCTGCTGGAGGGGCAGCGGAGCGGCGCCATGCGCGGATTTACATTGGACCTCGCTATCCTTAGGGGGGAAGGGCTGCGATCTGCGAAGCCGCTGCCACTTTCGAGGTCTGCTGGGGGGGGGGGGGCAGCGGAGTGACGTCCAGCGCAGACTGAAATTAGCCGTGTTATCCCTGGGGAGGGGTCGCGAAACTATTATCATTTTCGGGGAGTCCAGTGGAGCGACGTTATGTTATACGCAGACCAAAATTAGTCACGCCATCCCCGGGGATCTGCGACTTGCGAAACTCCGGCCACTTTCGAGGGCCACTGGGGGGCCCAGCGGAGTGACGTCACACGGGGACCGAAAACAAACCGCGCCATCCCGAAGGGGCTGCGAAATTGGAAATTGTCGCCACTTTCGAAGGCTGCTGGGGGGGCGGGAAGCAGAGTCACGTCATGCGCAGACAGGAGTGGAACCTCGCCGTCCCTGGGGGGGTGCGACTTGAGAAACTATCGCCACTTTCGAGGGCCGCTGGGGGACCAGCAGAGTGACGTCATACGCAGACCAGAATAGAACCTCGCCGTCCCGGGGGGGGGGCGACCTGCGAAACGATCGCCATTTTCGAGGGCAGCAGGGGTCCAACGGAGTGACGTCATACGCGGACCGAAATGAATCCCCGCCAGCCCACGGGGGGCTGCCGCTTGCGAAGCGGTCGCCACTTTTGAGGGCTGCTAGGGGGCGCAGCGGAGCGACGTCTTACGCGGATTACCAGGAGACCTCGCCATCCTCGGGGGGCTGCGATCTGCGAAGTTGTCGCCACTTTCGAGGGATGTTTGGGGGTCGACCGGAGTGACGTTACACGCGGACTTGAATTAGACCTCGCCGTCCCCGAGGGGCTGCAATCTGCGAAAATGTCGCCACGTGTGACGGTTGCATGGGGACCCAGCATAGCGACGTGTTGCGCAAATTTAGAGTAGACCTCGCCATCCCCACGGGCCTGCGATCTGCGAAACCGCCGCCATTTTCAAGGGTTGCTTGGGGGTCGACCACAGTGATGTCATACGCTTACTTGCAGTAAACCTCGCCATCCAAGGGGGGGGCTGCGATCTGCGAAAACGTGGCCACTTTCGAGGGCAGCTGGAGGGTCCAACGGAGTGACGTCACACGCAGATTTAGATTTAACATCACCATCCCTGGGGGCGGCGAATGGCGAAATTGTCCTCACTTTCGGGCGTTGTTGGGGTCTAGCACAGTGGAGTCCAACACAGATTCATAGTAGACTTGACTACCTTTTTCCCGCTGACCGCCCGAAGACCTGGCGGCGCGAATCCTGGCGTTTAGCTCTCGCAGCGTAAGGTGTCGGAAGGAAACGCAGAAACTGGCTGGCGAGCTCCGCCACGATCGTTTCTTGCATTAGGTATGAGCAGCTGATATTTTGGAGCGCCGGGGCGACATAGCGCGAGCCGCGCTGCCGCTGCTTGTCCAGCGTGCAATGGAAAATGATCGCCAACCTCTTTCCTCATCCTGCCTCTTTCGTTGTGGTCCTCACCTTCTTTCACCGTATCATTGTTGCTATCGCTTTAACGGTTCGGATTTTTGTCCGTCGTTTTCGCCCCCTCTCGTTCCCACCCCCATTTTGTTTTCGAGTATGATCCCTCAGCCCTCGTCTTTCTGTTATTCCCAACCATCCTGTGGTGTTGGGTCCTCGTTTTGAAGAGACGGTGCCCCACGTCTCCTTCCTCCTCTCATCCTCCGCCTCCTCTCCCCTCCTATCATCCTCATCGTCATCATCATCATCATCGTCATCATCATCATTATCATCATCATTATCATCATCATTCCTCTCCTCTCCTCTCCTCTCCTCTTCTCTCCTCCCCTCTCCTCTCCTCCTCGCCTCTCCTCCTCTCCTCTTCACCCACCCAGTACACCGTTTCGTGGCCCCATAGGGAGCTCCACCGAAGCCCCCAGTGCCCGCGCCCGCATGCGTCACCCACACCAAATTCGGCACACCCCTCACACGCTTCGTGGCTCCATAGGGAGCTCCACCGAAGGCCCTAGTGCCCGCGCCCGCATGCGTCACCCACACCCATTTCGGCACACCCCTCACACGTTTCGTGGCTCCATAGGGAACTCCACCGAAGGCCCCAATGCCCGCGCCCGCATGCGTCACCCACACCCATTTCGGCACACCCCTCACACGTTTCGTGGCTCCATAGGGAGCTCCACCGAAGGCCCAGTGCCCGCGCCCGCATGCGTCAGCCACACCCATTTCGGCACACCCCTCACACGCTTCGTGGCTCCATAAGGAGCTCCACCGAAGGCCCCAGTGCCCGCGCCCGCATGCGTCACCCACACCCATTTCGGCACACCCCTCACACGTTTCGTGGCTCCATAGGGAGCTCCACCGAAGGCCCCAGTGCCCGCGCCCGCATGCGTCAGCCCACACCCATTTCGGCACACCCCTCACACGTTTCGTGGCTCCATAGGGAGCTCCACCGAAGGCCCCAGTGCCCGCGCCCGCATGCGTCACCCACACCCATTTCGACACCCCTCACACGGCACACCCCTCACACGTTCGTGGCTCCATAGTGGAGTCTCCACACGAAGGAGCTCCACCGAAGTGCCCCAGTGCACCGCGCATGCGTGCGTCCCCACACCCATTTCGGCACACCCCTCACACGTTTCGTGGCTCCATAGGGAGCTCCACCGAAGGCCCCAGTGCCCGCGCCCGCATGCGTCACCCACACCCATTTCGGCACACCCCTCACACGTTTCGTGGCTCCATAGGGAGCTCCACCGAAGGCCCCAGTGCCGCGCGCATGCGTCCCCCACACCCATTTCGGCACACCCCTCACACGTTTCGTGGCTCCATAGGGAGCTCCACCTGCCCGCGCCATGCGGGGCACACCCCTCACACGTTCCACCTCCACCGAAGGCCCCAGTGCCCGCGCCCGCATGCGTCAGCCACACCCATTTCGGCACACCCCTCACACGTTTCGTGGCTCCATAGGGAGCTCCACCGAAGGCCCCAGTGCCCGCGCCCGCATGCGTCAGCCACACCCATTTCGGCACACCCCTCACACGTTTCGTGGCTCCATAGGGAGCTCCACCGAAGGCCCCAGTGCCCGCGCCCGCATGCGTCAGCCCACACCCATTTCGGCACACCCCTCACACGTTTCGTGGCTCCATAGGGAGCTCCACCGAAGGCCCCAGTGCCCGCGCCGCATGCGTCCCCCACACCCATTTCGGCACACCCCTCACACGTTTCGTGGCCCCATAGGAGCTCCGCCGAAGGCCCCAATGCGCATGCGTCACCCACACCCATTTCGGCACACCCCTCACACGTTTCGTGGCTCCATAGGGAGCTCCACCGAAGGCCCCAGTGCCCGCGCCCGCATGCGTCACCCACACCCATTTCGGCACACCCCTCACACGTTTCGTGGCTCCATAGGGAGCTCCACCGAAGGCCCCAGTGCCCGCGCCCGCATGCGTCCCACCCCCATTTCGGCACACCCCTCACACGTTTCGTGGCTCCATAGGGAGCTCCACCGAAGGCCCCAGTGCCCGCGCCCGCATGCGTCACCCACACCCATTTCGGCACACCCCTCACACGTTTCGTGGCCCATAGGGAGCTCCGCCGAAGGTCCCAGTGGGTGTGCCCGCATGCGTCCCGCACACCCATTTCGGCACACCCCTCACACGTTTCGTGGCCCCATAGGGAGCTCCACCGAAGGCCCCAGTGGGTGTGCCCGCATGCGTCCCGCACACCCATTTCGGCACACCCCTTCGTACGTTTCGTGGCCCCGTAGGGGGCTCCACCGAGAAGATATCCACAATTGCAGTATTCACAATTGCATATGGTTGGGTCCTTCGCCAGGATAATTATCTTGTGAATCGCGCAACGCGCGCGCGAGCGCGCGCTTCCCATCTAAGTTGCACAACCAATAGCACACCCCGCTCTGTCATCAGCCATTTTTTCTGGTCGAATTTTTCATTTGGTGCAAATGGGCTGGGCACGTCGCAAGACAATTGCCTTTCAGGGCCCTTTGGGGTGCTCTCGGAGGGCTCTTGGGGCGTCTTGGAGGCGTCTTGGGCCATCTGGAGGGCGCCGCAGCCTGTCTGGAAGCCTTTCGGGGTCGTCTCGGGGCACTCTTGGACCCTTCGGGGCACTTCTGACGAATTCTGTTGTTCTTGGTCGCCATTTCCGACGGGGTCACCGTCCGAGAAGCCCACGCGACACACCACAGTAGCACCCAAGAGCGCGCAAGAGCATCTGGGAAACCGGGGGCCCAGGCCCGTAAGATTTTTGTAGACCCTCGACCTCTCAGGGCTGCACGAGCCTGGGGGCATTCCACGTCGTGCTTGAGACACGGTGGCGGATAAGAGCCCCTCGGGTGGCACGAGCTCGAGACAAGGGCAACAGTAACCCAACTGACACAAAGTGTTGCTTGTGTGTCCGCGTCTTGGTCAATCGGCGCTCGTGATTGGGCGCGTCATGTACCGATCATCCCCCATTTCCTCCTCCAGCCCCCGCTGGGGAGGGCACAGTGTTCACGAGCCTTGCACAGGCCCCCTGCCGCGCGCCCCCCACCCTGCCCCCCTCTGTGTTTTGATTTCGAGATGCGAGGGTCGGATTTGGCTTTCCCCTCTGCTGACATGTTGCTTCCGGCCGAGGCACCCTCAGAGGTCCCTGGAGCCCTGAAATGGCCAAAACCGTCCAGAACCGGCTGAAATCGTCCAGAAGCTTCCCTCCTCGATCCTCGAGGGCTGAGGAAAAACATGGCACCTGGTATCCCATCTTTCCATGTTCATGTCTGCCCCGCCCGCTCTCTTCTGGCTGGAGACGCCGAGGCGGTGTTGGTGGAGTTGGCGCCAAGCTTGTCGTCGGAGGAGACGATGTTGATGCTCCTCCTCGCGGAGCCGCCGCCGCCGCCGGTTGCGAGGAGAGCCAAGGGCACGATAAAACCAAAGAGCTCTCAAGCTGCGCTTGCGCATGCTTGTTCTTCAGCCTGGTTCTCGAACTTGTGTTGCGGCCTAACACGGCAGGGTTGGCAGGGTCCCGCAAAAACATCTGGACTAGTCGGTGAGCGTGCTCACGCCAAGAACTAGAAGGAAGGGTCAGAGGAAGAAGAGGAGCAGGACGCAGGTGCAAAAGCGCAGAACAATTGTATTTCAGCATGGCGCGCCCCAGAAACGGAATACATTCCAGCGGGCGACAAACTCGGCCTCCGTGGGCTCCGTGCTGAATTGGCTCGTGGAGCGGCGGCCCATGGCGCTGCACCGCCCAGGGCCCCCGCGGGGGGACGGTGGGCCCTCCTCTGGTTCCGTGGGGCCCCTGACGGGCGGAAGAGCCCGGGCCATGCGGACGACCTCGGGTCTGTCTTCGACATCAGCTCGAACGTGCTTCCACAGTCTCATGAGACAGCCTGGAGACTACAGACTCCATGGCGTGGTGAGCTTCGGCTCATCGTCGCAAGGTGCCACGCTCGGAGGTGCACGCAAACCTTGTGCTGCACTTGCTCTGGACTCTCGCCACGGTCTTCGAGGTTCGCAAAGCCCACGGTGCGGCGGAACCCTCAATTGCAGAACTCACGGAACGCTGTATTACAGCCCTCGTGTTCATCATGCAAACGGTGTGCGCATGGGCTTTGGCCTGTAGAACCTTTGACAACCATGGGAGGGGAGGCTTCTACCGGTGGCCCTTCTCTGGACTGGCGCCGTCCATCATATTCGACTCAGTCGCCCACGCACCTGCTCGAGGGACCTGTTTCTGCAGAGGCCCTCCTGAGCAACCGGATCTTGAAGAAGGCGGAGAAGAAGGTGACGATGATGAAGAGGCATCAGCATGTGCATACTGGTATCCGGAAGACCTCTGCGTGGTGGGCGCTGGTCTTCTTGGCATCGCAGAGCGGCCTCCAAGGGAAGCGGCTCTAGATCTTGTCGACAACTTCCAGGTTCGACCCCGCTCGTGGATGGAGTGCGCGGGAAAGGGGGTGCAGCTGGCACGATGGCTAAGAACAACCCTGGGGTGGAGGGGGAGGGGGAGATAGGGGGGGCAGAGGCAAAGCGTGTGGGGAACGGGAAAAGAGGGAGATGAGGCCAGGGGAGCGGAGGAGCGGGGCGAGTTGGTCGGCACATCTTGGCGGGGATTCGCCGTGTGACGCAGTCGCCTGCACGCCGGCGGAGCTACACTACGAAGGCGCCCGCAGCCACGTGGCAGGCTCACCCAAGAGTGGGGGAAGGTGAGAGGAGGGGACGACGAGGAGGAGGAGAAGGAAGAGGGCCACGCGTCCCCGCCCCACGTGGACAGCATAAAAAGCCAGTCTAGTTCGGCCGACCACTGCAGCGAAGCCACATGTCACTAGGCAGGCGTTTTGCGGGCAGGACAGGGGGGACGAGGGGGAGGCAGGGAGCACGAAAGCTACGCGTGAAAAGGGGGAGGGGGTGGAAGAGGATTGCAGGCGAGGCGATGGGAGAGGGGAGGGCTGACAAGAGAGGGAAGATGGAAGGGGGTATTCATGAAAAGGCACGGCAAACCACGGGAAGCAGGTGGACGGAGGGCAGCGCAAAGAAGTCGAGAGCTTTACAGGCGCGGCATACCCGCCAAGAGAGAGTGGTTGTGGCGTTGCCCTCTGAGGAGGAGCAGGGGGAGAAGGAGGAGGAGGAGGGGGAGGAGGAGGAGGAGGAGGAGGAGGAGGAGGACGAGGAGGAGGAGGAGGAGGAAGAGGAGGAGGAGGAGGAGGAGGAGGGGGAGGAGGGGGGAGAAGCGAAGGAGGAGGGGGAGGAAAAGTAGGAGCACACACACCAGCTCGACAGCCGAGGCTACGGCAGTATCGTCACGATCTTGCCAGACGCTGTTGCCTCGCCGGTGTCGCGTTAGCGATGCAACGTTGGAGTTGGCTGGGTTTGATTGGGTTATGGGACAGGGCGCAGACTTGCGTTCTTCGCGCAGGCGTGGGTCATTTTGATCATCGTGGCGTGCTCCAGGAGGCATTGCGGACAAGTGCCGTGGTTTACAGTCATTAGTGGTCCGTGGTTTTTGGGACTGCACCACAAATTTTGGCGTCGCACTATGCGTCTACGATATCATGTTACGTTCTGCATTGGGTTTTCTTTCGTTGCGCGGTGTCTGTCGGCGCTCGGGTGGCAAGGCGATGGGCCAGTTGGGCAGACACATCGTGCTGGCTGCTCGGCATCGCAGTTCTCCCTGCGGCGAGTTCGCGCGGCGACAGCTCTCTGGCCAGTAATGGCAGGGAGGCGGGAGACGGCAGGATGTCTTCGTTTTCCTTGTCCCGTGCAGGAACGACGCCGTCGGCACTGCGACCGGAGAGATCAGAGCGATGGCCGGTTTCAGTCCGACGGAATCGGGGGGGTGAAAAGCAGAGCGAGCGCGATTTTCGGGCATCTGTTGTGCGGTAGCCAGATCGCTCGGGCCTCACTGCGGTGGCCGAGGAGCTCGTAGATCTGCGCCAGCGCGCAGGGCCAGCTAACCAGTCCCAGGTGCAGGTTTTGCACGCAAGACGGCCAGGGAGGCGTTTGCCTACCACGTCGGCCGCGGCATCACGGAGACGAGGGGGCAAGGTCTCTCGCCATCTGCTGACTCCGACCAGATGCTCGGCAGTAAACGACCCGTCCGACGGTTGCGAGGTCTCGATGCCAGAGAAGCTCACGGTGCAGGAAGTTCTTCCCGGATTGCTGCCCCGCAGCGAGGCCCTTCCTTCGGGCCCTTGAGAGCCTCGCGAGCTCACACTCACGGAGATCGCGCGTGCCTTGCTGCAACGCGCATGAGGCCGTGAGGGGGTCGGAGTGCAGCCCATCGTCGGCGGCGATCGAGAGCGAGACCGTGGGTTGATCGAGAGCGGCCAGATCATGCCGCTGGCCACGGCTGCTGCGGCTTATGATATGATGGCCCCACAACCACGCCTAGGTGAGGATAAGTTTCCGCCTACTGCGAAAACCACCTCACAGTCACCGAGGAAGGACCAGGAGTTGCTTGTTTGCCCTGGCGAGGACATTACCGAAGGCTCGCAGGACGTCCAGCCTAGCAGTCTGTGTTCCCTCAAACCCGCCCTGCCCTCCCGGTTCCGCTTTCCGATCCTTCGCATTATCATCTCTCTCTTCTTTTCTCCTCCTCCTCCTTCATGTTGTCATCCTCCTCTTTCACCTCCTCACCTTCTGTGGACAGTGCGCCAACGCAAAGTCGATCTCAGTATTCGGAGTTCTTTCAGTCCATCGATATTCGGGAAGCGACTTCGAGAACGAATATGGCCAGGAATTCAGAACGGATGGGGCATGATAGGAGAGCCAACGGAGAAGGCAGAACGCAGGGATAGAGGGGCACAGAGGGCGCTTTCTTCAGCTTCCGGCAACGGGCAGGACAAAAGCGAGAATGGGGACGCACTCTACCGCACGTTTGCAGACCGGTGTGGCTTCGACAGTGTTATGGAGGATCTGTGCTTTTTGTCGGCAGACAGAAAGAGGAACACACCGCGATACGCTTCTGGGGCCCAGGTGGATGAGTGTACCATTGGCAAAGATAATTGCTCTTGTGTGTGGGTCCATGTCGGGCGAAGCGGTATGAGTTTCAACCCTAGACGGCCGCAAATGATGTATCGGAGGAGCTGTTCCGTAAGTCAATGTGATGCGCGGTCATCTCATATACAGGATGCGCTCCCACAGCCTGCACGATATATGCTTGACCACGGGGCAGAAAGCCGCACAGCCGAGTGAACAGGAGGCAGAGGAGAAAGAAGGGGTGAGATAAAAATGGGGAGAGGCAAGCCAACAATATTGATAGAGAGAGGGAGAGAAATAGAAGGAGAGACAGACAAACAGACAGACAGACAGACAGGCAGACAGACAGACAGGCAGGCAGGCAGGCAGGCAGGCAGAGACAGAGACGATAGAGACATGCAGGGAGAGCGACGGGGATCTGTGTAAGAGTGAGTGCCACAGTGCGTGATGAAGAGTATGACGAAGCCTGACCATGAGTGAGTCTGAGTATGCTCGATCTGAGTGTGAGTGAGTCTGAGCATGAGTGAGTCTGAGTGTGAGTGAGTTTGCGCACGAGTGACCTTAGTCTCGTTGAGTCTGAGCTGTTCTGAGCACGAGTGGGTTAGAGGGTGAGCGAGCATGGGAGTGCGTTTTAGTCTGGTAAAAGGTCTGAGTATGAGTGAGTCTGGGTATGAGTGAATCTGACCGCGGGTGACGAAGGAGGGGGGAAGGAGGATGGAGAGAGTCGGAGGCATCACACGAGTATTTCTCAATCGATTCGATGACTCCGCCGGCCCATGTTGTCTCAATGCTGTCGGTTGGCCGAGTGTGCGCCGTGAGTACGGGGTTGCTGGGGCGCGGCCGTTTTGCGGATGTGTTGCGTTCGGTGTGCTGTCGGTGAAACAGTTCCCGAGAAGCTGCTGCGTAGCGGTTTGTTGGGGCTACCTGGGGTCGAGGGAAGTGTAGGTATTGACAGGGCTCGTTGGGTGTTGTCGTTCATGGATGCTCGATGTGGGGCCATGCGACGCGGACGGCGACGGCGACGATCGGCTTGCGAGGTCGACACGACGATCGGAGATGGGACAAGGGCGTAAACATATACATTTGGAGGTCCGCGCGGAGTTCTGGGATCGTCGCTTGGTCCTCCCTGGCGCGCGTAGCGCGCCAGGTGCAGCGCCGGAGGTGCCGCCATGAGGATTCATGTCGAACCCAAGAAATCAGAGCGGACATCCGAAAGTGTATGTGTACGGTGTTGCCCTCCAGTGCGCCCACCCGGTCCACCCTGGCCGGGGGGCGGCCTCTCCTTCCTTTCTTATTTTGCCGACGTGCACCAGTTCGGTGCGTACCGCAGTTCTGTTCGCAGGGGGGTCCTTGCCGTCCTTTCCAGGGGCGGCTGGCCCCCCCCTTTCCCCAGCGGGCCCACCCTGTCCACCCCGGCAGGGGGGCCCTGCCACTTGTCGCTTCCGACCTGCACTGGCTATGTGCCACCTCGCACCCGCCGCCCCGTCCCTCTGTTCCGTGCTGGGCCCTGCCTCTGGCTCTGCTGGCCCCCCCCCCCCCTGGCCGCCTGAGCCATCTCGGGGCCACGCTGCGCCCCAGCATCCTCCTGCCCTGCGGGGCAGCGCCCCTGAAGCTGCTGTCGACCAGCGCCTGCAGGGCGAAAGCCCTCTTGCTGCCCCCCGCGCCGGGCGGTGCGCCTCGCCGCTGCTGCCGCCCTGCCGCCCTGTCTGTGGGCCCCGCGGGCCTCCCTGTTAGTTGTTTCCCCCCCGCTCGCTCTCCGTCCCTCCACGCGCCGCCATGGCGCTGACCAGTTGTTCGCAGCCGCCGCGCCGGCCCCCTGGGTTTGGTTTTGCGGCCCGCCACCGGCGCCCCAGCTTTTTGCTGGCAGCCATGCCCGCTCCCGCCTGGGGGAGGAGCGGCCACCAGGCGTTGACACTGACCGCTTTGCACCCTTGCCCCTTTGGGGTGGCATCTGCCCCCGCACTGCGCCCCGCCGCCGCCAGCCATTTGGTGCAGCAGCCGCCGCGGGCCCGCCGGCGGGGCCGGCCGCGCCACACGCTCGGGGCGTGACCTGTCCCAACAGAGCGGTTCGTTCCTTCCGCCCCCTCTTTCGGCCGGTTCTTCTGTTTTTCCTCCCCTCCTGCGCGGTGGCGCAAGTCGTTACAACAGTGCCCCCGTTTAGGTAGCCTCTCCGCAAGCGCAGTTAACCTGCCTAGCCGCCGACGCAAAAAGTGCGCGGTGCTGTTCTTCTTACTCCCAAACGACGATCCGTCCAGACGCGCGGAGGGCGAGGTCCCAGCTGCGCCGCCCCCCTGGCATATGCACCGCGCCCGAAACGTTTTGGGAGTGCCCGATTCGTGTAGGCGGGTCCGTAGAGAACAGAGGGGCGTGACTCGAAATGCAAGCCTTTTGGCACCACCTGTTGCACTCAACGCAGACGTATCCGCATGTGCTAGGGTGTGTGAGCCTATGGCGACGGCGATCCTTGCCGGTTCCCCCGCTGAGTGCCCAAACGCGGTGCCTCTTGCATTGATCGCTTTTCAAACTTAATTGATCCGTGCTCTGGTCGGGGGAGGGGGCCGTGCCGTGATGAGGTGTATGCTCACCCCCCCGACGCGTCGCTCAAGCCTTTTGTGGCCCGAGCCGCCGCGGGGGTTCGCAGCCAACCCCATCCGCAAGTGCTGCCACCCCGCGAGCGGCTACTCGCCTAAGGCTTCTCAACCACGTGGCGCCGGCCCATCGCGATAGGGCTCGCCTTCTCATTCCTTGGCGACGCTGGACTCGTTGAATGGGCCCTGGAGAGCCCGATCGAGCCTGCGAAGGAGCCCGACCCGCTCCAGCGCCACGAGCGCATGAGCCCCCGCATCAGTTTCGGGGAGTACATCGGCCTGTCCATGTCTACAGTGCACCGATGGAGCCGCACGTGCCCGAACCTCGGTGGTGGTCGGGGCGAGGTCGCCTTGATGTTGATGCGGCTCTACCCCATGAAGAAGGGCGACACCCGTTGGATCTTCGCCCGCCCCGACCGTACGTTGGGATTCGTGGACATTGAGGATCGCCCCAGGATCACCGCGAAGAGGCACCCCCAGGTCACGCACGCCCACTTCCCCGCTCTGACCGCCGAGGAGAAGACGACGGCCCTGGAGGCCGGCACCGAGAAGCAGCTGAACATGAAGTTCGGTGTTGCGCGCTGGCGCTCTTGGGGATCGGGGCTTCATTGGCTGCGCAGTGGGGCCGTCTTCCTGTGGTCGACCTGTGCGCGGGGCACGACGGGAGGGCTGCTCTTCTTCGGCTGGACGGCCGCGGTATATTTCCGAGCCCGGAGCTGGGCAAAATGGGCGGTCGAGAAGATGGACGATACCCGCTCCATGCTCATCGAGCTGGACGACTTCCGCGCCCACCTGCGCGACCTGTACCAGGGCGGTCGGCTCGAGCTCCTGCTGCTGATCATCTCGTTCGTGCATGCCTCCACCCCCGCCCCCTGGAGCTGGGCGCGTCGCCGACCCCCCCCCCCCCGAGGTTCGGGGGGCCACGCCCCCTGGGGGCGACGTGGGCAGCGATGGGGGGGCGAGGCATTCGGCGACGTCGGACGCCGAGTCGGAGGGCAGCAAAGAGGTGATGGAGGTAAAGAAGATGATGCAGGACCTGCTGGAGGAGGCACAGCGCGATCGACGCGACCGCAGTTCTCAGGAGTCGGGTTCGGGCAGCCCTCGTCGCTCGGACTCTTCGGCATGGGTCCCCGACTCGAGCGCGGGAAGCTGGGGGCGCATCCCATCGCCCCCAGGCATGGGCACGCACGTGGACCGCACGATGGACCGATCGCAGCAGTTCGGGAGGACCACCCATGCGGCCCGTCAGCAGCCAAACCGACGGGCTGCGGCAGACCAGAGCACGACGGCGGCGACGGCGGGGTCTTCCGAGGCTCCAACGCTTCACCTCGACCCATCAGTGCTGGAGGAGACGGGAGTCAACGTTGGCCCCTTGCGCGAGTCTCTGAAGGACCCCCGCGCGCGCCGGGTGGAGAATTTGCCGACGCTTCAGGCGACCTGCCGATCTCGTTCGAGGGACGTCATCGGCGACTTCAGCAGCTGGCAGCTGCGTGCGAGAGGCCGGCGGCGCCGCGCCGAGGGCATCACCTCGACGGAGGGGGCGGCCGCGGTGATCGCCGCTCGCCACGTTCTTCGATCCGTCGAAAGCGTTCATCGTCGCCACGTCAATGTCAGAGATAATTTCGGACCCATTCTTGCCAGGGGGAAAGGCAGGGCCCCGCGCGTCAGCATTATTCGTCGCCGTCGTCAGTTGCGCGCCCTCTGTCTGGCTGGAGACGCGGAGTTTGATCGGGCTTTGGGCGCCGGGCGAGTTCGACCCAGCCGACGGGCCTTCCCGCCGAGGCCCTCGCCCAGGAGCAGGTCGCGCGCGACCCTGCCTGTGGGGCGGCAGCCAGCTGGCGGGAGGAACGCGACCAGGCCCCCCCTCTGCTCGACATCCTCGGCACCGACGCCGCCATCGACGAGCGGCATTCTGCGGCGAACGATCTCGGCTCCGACGGCGAGCGAGCCTAGCCAGAGATCGCAGGCGGGCGCCTCGCCCACGAAAAGGCCGCCGGAGGTCGCGGGCCCATCGCCGCCACGACGCAGCAGCGCCGCGCACGAGGCTGCCGACGCTCCGAGGCGCACCGCGGCCAGGCCGCGGCGCGGCCGGACCTGGGCGCCTACTTTTGGAGGCCGACCAGGTGAACCGCAATTCGGCGACGCTGCGCGATCGGCGCTTCTGCGATTCCCGGGAGTAGGCAGCCCGAGTGCAGATGCGTCTGGCGACGCCGCCCGAGATCGACATCGCGCTGGCGGGCCACTTCGAGGACCTCTACTTCAAAGGCCATTACCACGACGCGGGCGAGAAGGCGAGGGCGAGCGGCGAGCGCGGAGTTCCGCATCTCCGAGCTCAAGGTCCCAGGC